TCATTTTAGTTATCTAATTCGAACACAGGGGGTTATTAGCATTTGTTTAAATAGGTAAGTTACACGTAGTGATTCTGGAATATTCTTCCAAAAACTGATTGGATGGAACATGATCGACTCTTTCTGAGCTTCTTAGAGCTTGCTCAAGTTCACCTGTAGACCGTCTTCACAATATATTTTGTAGTCACATATATAAAAGAAATGATAATCAATACATTTATTACTTGATATAATGTAAAAAGTATTCTACCTAAGAAGATTGATCTTAATGGTTTTATCCTTTGATTTAAGAGATATAGTCTTATAGCTTTTATTGTTTTTTCCAGTTTATATAGTTAACACAAACTTAAGATAGAAGCTGGCTATTTCAATTATCTCCATATATCACTAAAAACTTGTTTTATCATTGTCTGTATATTTTTTTGGTTTTCCTTTCATTGACCTGATTATTGACTTTATAGTTCTCTATAATATTTCAAATAGTTTACTTCTACTTAAAGTTTATACTGATGTTATTGTCTACAAATGTTAATAAAAATTTCAGATTAGACCTTTTACCTGAGGGAACCGCTGTCTATTAAACAATATTTGAATGTTTGACAATTTGCTTTTCTAATATAGACTTATTTGTATATCAAATATTTATGATATAGTCTTAGTTGTTTATTGTTTAACAGCATTTAACTTTAGTTATGCTACAGTGATTTAAAAAAAACTTCTTTGAAAGTAATATAATATGCTGTTATAGTATATTCATTGAAAACCTTCTAACAAAAACATAAGCAATGTTCTGTACATAGAAACAATCATCTAAACGCCAATTTAATTTAATACCAATTAATTATATAATATATGTCATACTAAGAAAACAAATATTGAACACAGAAACGAATATCCTTGTCAGATATTGAAGAATGCCATATTTCCTTATAGTGAGCTTTGATACAAATTTCTTAGATGCAAACATCAAACATATATTCCATGTCGTCAGATTTACATTGATTTCATGGTTGTTATTTATTGTTAATAAATACGTTCTTTCATACATTTATATATTTCTGATTTAAATGAGCACAAGGATTATTAGTTCATTATTAACTAATATCAAATGGAGTACAGTAATGTGGGTTGCTTACATCCACATTAGTATTATAGGACGATGGTCAGGCAGAGAATATATTTCACTAGAAGATTGATAAGGAAAGAACCAAAACGAAACATATGAGGTATGAAATTACATGAACAATAATAATCAGAGACTATGGACTCATATTTGCAGAAGAAATGGTTAAAATTGAGACGATTGATTGATAGTTTACAAATTAACTGTTCATTGTATGGTTGTCAAATATATTTGATTGTCACCACTCAGGTTCTCATTCACTACAGTACTATCTGAAATCATCCTCTTTCTTTATCCAAATCTTGAAACAAACAAAAAAAAACATTAACAAATCTATCCTACTTCATCAAAACAACAATGTTTTGAGTAATGGTTTTTCTCTTTTTGTTTTCATAAGTTTAATCAACAAATCAATAAACCAATATCAACTCATTTGTATCTATGTCAATTTATTAACACATTCTATTCTTAGTTTTTCTAATAACAATTCATTTAGTTGATACCCACATAAATGAAAAAAAAAAATCCAACATTAGTCTATACCTTTTATTTATATACTTAATGAGAGATTGTAAGATGGTTGAAACTATTAAACTGAAAAGAATATTGGATTATAACTAGTTAATTGAATTTATTATACTACTCATAAAAAATGGTTTTCATTTCACTTTTGATTATTATTATTATTAGTATCATGATGTATTTGATGTTTATTTGTGGGATTGTTCGATAATGAACATTTTCTCTATTCATCATAAAGTTAATCGCTGGAGTTATTCAATTATGAAGTATTAAATAAATTGTTGAGATGGTGATAAAATATATATACAGAGAGAGAGGGAGAGAGGGGAGTAGAGAGAAAGAGAGAGAGAGGGTGATTAAGACATTCAAAGGTAAAGAGGTCATTGTCATATTCTTAATGTTTGTTTTTTTTTCTAAAAATTAACTAGTTAATATCTGAAGATAAATTACGAATAATAAAATGATAATCTTAAATGAAACATAATGATTTATGACAATGAATGATTCATTCAATAGGCTATATCACTATAATCATAATGATAATAATAATAATAATGATCATTATGTTAACATTTGATACAAATAAATGAATAGATTTTTCGAGGACTCATTTTTCAATGCTACTTTATATAAAGATTAAACATTATTATTGTAAGGATGGCTCGTTGACAAACTCAAGGAATCCTCAAGAAGCCCAGAAAGAGCTAAAGACATTCCATCCAATCACCGCTAGAGGAACATTCTGAAATGTCAACGTGTATCTTCGCTATTGCATGAGTAAGAAGGATCCTCTATGTGCCTGATAGCTGTCCGAAATGATGATTTACTTTCAGTCAAAAACTACAAATATATGAGATTTTTGTATTATATTTGACACATTCCTACTTACTTGTCTTCTGTCTTCTCATTTTGCGACGGCCGTCCAGTGCTTCCAGGTTTTCCGTTATGATCTAGATTCAATTGACTCATGATTTCAACTTTATATGTATATTTCCTATTGTATAATTGTTAAATGACTTTACTATTCATATTCATGTCCCTCTTAATATAAGCTTTATCTCGACCTATAGACTATTATTATACGATTTACCATTCGTGAGTTATCCCAAGTCTATTAATTACTATCTCCCGCATTTACAGCCACATTTGGCTAAATCTTGTACAAATATTATTTCCTATTTTATGTTACGATGTGGTCTGTTTGTTTAATACATAAACCCAATGTGTTTGATATAAACTATTCATACCGCAGAGGATGTTGTTGGTGTTCTGGACTTAAATGATTAAGCTAAACGTAGAGCAGTACCGATAATGATGCTGAACTGCTTGTACGGGTTTTATGTCATTGGTCCAATAGATAATTCACTGCTCTCTAATTGACGGCATCGTTACGTCGTATATTAATTGGGTTACAAACGCATAAGGTATAACAATGAGTTATTTTAATCAAATAGTAATATGTTAATTGTTAGTAGTACAAATGTAATGGTATTTCTTGAAATAACAACATGAACTGATCCAAGAATGAAGTTGAATAAGATATTAATTCATCAATGAATTTAACAATAGTCATATCAGACTAATAGATTGAATTATAATTAAACAGCTTGTTGTAAAGATTTAAAAAAAACAGGGACAAATATCAGCAATAAATACATGAGAACTAATATAGGACGATTTCAACTTAGAAAGTAACTAAAAAACAACTGTTTTAATATTACATTCTTTGTAAACAACTCTACTGAATCGAATACGATGTTTGAGAAAAGAATGAAATTACTACAGTAGACAGTGTTGTTACAGAAAAGTAGTAACCCTAAATGAAACGTTCGGTATGTTAAGATGAATGTAGATGACTCCAATGGAGTGTGTAGTACTAAAGAAAATTTGCAATATTGTTATGTGGTACATTATTGAATGAATGATACTATTGTTATGATATTGGAAAACGCATATATATATATATACCAATCTAGAGCACATTATGGAAAGTTGAGTGAGAAGAAATATCTTTTCACATTATTTAACTTTCCCTAAAATTATGTAAACAAGTTCAAATGCAGAACACTTTTGTATTTTCATAGTTAAGATCATGAGTCAATTGAAGCTAGACCACTGTGGAAAATCTGGAAGCACTGGACGGCCGTTTCGTCCTATTATGGGACTCCTCAGCAATGCGTATCCACGAACCCGCACTTGCGAGATTCGAACCCAGGACCTACCAGTCTTTTGTATTTGATTATAACTGTAAACGTTTTCACGAAACATAATGTCATAGAAACTATACTTTAAACGATTTCTATTTCTTCTTTCTCTGATATAAAAGATAAATAATTCTCTTTATGAAGAAAACCGTTATTAGTTAAACTTTATCAGTTTGCTGTAAAAACCACTGGAATTTAAAATCAAATGTATATGATTTTAATGTTTAAATGGTAAACGAATTAGATTGAAAACGTATTGAGGAACTTGAAAAACAACTTGAATTATAGATAAATTCACTAAATATACAAAGCTGTTATTCGAAATGTTACCACAAATTAATCCAGTAATCTTTTAAAGTTTCTGAATTAATCCAAGTACAGATCTAATGTCAATATTGAAAATCTATTAATCCTTAAATAATCAATTAAACTCAGTAAAGAAGTTTATGTTTTTTTCAACAGACTAAACAATTCTTAAAATCAATAAACTGATTGTCACCTATTTTAAGGATATTAAAATTACATTATCTAGTAAAACGGAGTCATGAGTAAAATACTTAAATAATAATAATAATAATAATAATTAATGATTCCCATTGTGAAAATTTGAACAACACATGACAATCAATAGATGTTACTGTGTATTGTTCATCTATTAGATATTAAGTAGTATTTAATTTGATATAGTTGAAATCATGAGTCAATAGAAGCTAGACCACTATGGAAAACCTGGAAGCACTGGATGACCGTTTCGTTCTATTGTGAAACTTCTCAGAAGTGCGCATCCACGTTCGCGCCAAACGAGATTCCAACTCAAGACGTATCAGTCTTGTACGCGAGCGCTTAACCTATAGACTACTGAAATTACCGGCATCCAACGGTGTTAATGTCTAACTTCAACCAATCCACGAAGTTAAGCAACCACTCATCAATGTCTTCAGTGTAATGATATCTCTCAACAGATGTAATTGAACTCCACTGGTTACTGCTTCTCACTAGAACTTCAGGAAATAACTCATGATTTCAACTGTATACAACTACTAATAATCTCTACAAAATCCCATTGTGATAACTATTTTTTTAGATTTATTTCATCCATCAAATCATTCTATATTCAAGTAAAAGAAAAAGAAAACTTTTAATTTACTTACTCTATACTACTTGTTGGTGCACTAAGATCACCAATTGTTGTTAATGTTAATGTAGCCCAATAAAATGATTTCAGATATATACGTGATATTGTATCATTTTCATTATTATAATGTGGTTGATAACCCCATGGATTTTTAAATCCTTCATATTTAGATAATAAATAATAAAATGCAGCAAACCAATGACAACCTAAAAATAATATATGAATTAAATTTAATACTCTCCATAAATTTGGAAATATAGTTCTATTCTCTACACGTATCTTCCATTCACGACATCGATACCATTTAAGAAATCTTGGAAAACGTAACATTGGTTGTATACCAATTTTAAATTGTAATAAATCCAATGGAAGTAATGATGTAATATCTAAGAGGAATTTATAGGATTTCATATAACGTTTAGCTAATTTTTGATGATTACGTACTTTTAATCCACGTTTTAAATAACTTGTATTACATTGTACAAATATATCAATTAAATAAGTTAAATCAGTGAATACATCTAAACTAAACCATAAAATTTGATAAGTTATTTGTAATTCAGTAAATGCTTGACGTGCTATTGGTGCCCATAAATTATATAATAATGCTATAGATACAAATGTTAACCATATTAAATAACCGGAACTATTTGAATGAAATATAAAAAAATTCATTGGTATTTTTAATGTATTCAAAATTTCTTTTTTCCAATTTATTGATTTTTCAATATCAATTTCTATTTGATGATTGTTAGTATTTAGTTTCTCAGGAGAATAGTTTTCACCAGTATCAAATGGTTCAATTTCTGGTTTAGTTACTAAGTTATCTACAATGGAACATTGTGATGATGATGATTTCATTAAATGTTCCATTTCATGTTGTTTATCATCCATCTCTGGTTGTTGTTGTTGTTGTTGTTGATTAAACCATGATTCAATGAATGTATCACTTTGTGTATAATCATCATTTTGTGATTTGATATTATTTTTATTTTTAAAAGAAGTTTGATAAGTTACTAATGGAGTTTCATTAAGATTCTCATTTTCACGTGTATATGTTCCACGTCTTTGTGTTGAAAAACGATATAGAAATGAATCACGACTAGAATCATCATGTTCTGATTTACTTTTAGATTTGTTTGACAGAACAAATTTCATTGTATGACGAACATTTTTCCAATTTTTACCTACACCATTTATTGAAGAGTTTGAACTTGTAGTATGTTCTTCTTTTATTGATGAATTTATTTTCTCCGGTGATAAATTTAAATTTTTAAATTTTGTATTCGTTATTTTGGTCGGAGAGTCTAGAGATTTTCTAGAGAAATTTGAAAAGTGTACACTTTTCTGTGAACTATTCCGATTCATTTCATATCCTTCTTCTTCTTCTTCTTTTAAACGGCATGAAACATCTTCATTACAAGTAAAATTACTTACAGAATCATTTATTGTGTTACCGTCGCTTAATAAACATTTATTGTCATCATCATTTGAAGTAGGATGATTCGACGATTCAACTGTTGCAAGTGTATCTTTAGTATTGGACATTTATGAAATTTTCCAGCTATATATATGTACATTTAAACTGTCTTGTACTTCATGTATTGAGCTTGAGAAATATATTACAATAAACCAAGTTTAATGACACGAAAACATTGATACATGATTGGTTCTCACTAAACTACTTTCTATTGGTTAATTTATATAACCTCTAATTATTTTAATCACGTGTATGAAATGTAATGTTCTATTGTAAAAATGTAATTTTCATAAGTAGTACATGCTGATTTCACATATAAATTTAATATTCTCCTGATATTTTAGAATGACTGTTTAACTATTCAAAATTTTACGCACTTCAGAACATCTTTTTTTCTTACCAACAAACTACATGAACAAAGATGGTTAGTGGTTAACAGTGAAATCCAGGAAACACTTTTCGTCCTATTTGAGACTCATTAGCTGGATTTACCTGCATCTCAAAGTTGATGTTCACTCTGAGACTCGAACCCAGTACCTTTCGCTTCAAACGTCAGTTGCAGTCTTAAACATCAATGGGAAGATTAAAACATGCAATACTAAGTGAATTTACGCTTCACCGCATTGCACAAGCAAGTGTTTATCAAGACTCAATAGCTGAGTAGATAATCCGATGGCGTTTGAAGCGAAAGGTGATGTAATCGAGTTCCAGAGGCAACATCAACTCTAAGATGCAGGTACAGCCATCTAATCAGTTCCAAATAGGACGAAACGCGCGTCAATCTGGATTCCACTGCTAGCAACTATCCATCTTTGCTTATAATACTTGTGAATTAGGGCTAAATCGAGGCCATACGCACATCATGCACATATGCCAATTAGCGACTGACCAGTTGCAGTCCTAAAACTTCGATGGGAAGATTCAAACAAACAATACTAAGTGAAACTATATATACGTTATATCGATTATAGGTGTAAATCTATGTGTTAAAATCAACTTTTCCTTAAAAAATGAATGTCGAATTTTTTAAATTTTAGTATTCTGTTATTGGAAATATACTCTGAAATTCGTTGATGAACCAAGAAACACAAAAATTAAGGAATCCTTACGAAACAAGCATAGAAACGTTTTATGACTATTAGAAAGAGGCTTAAATGGCCCTTGTTTTGTATATTCTAGACTGGATTTCAATCAATCTTTATTAGAATATGCGGATCCTGTATATATTGCCTCTATATCGTTTTGCAGAATAGGTGGGTTATGGCTAACAGTGGAATCAGGGACATGTGTTTTGTTTTATTTGATACTTGCTAACAAAGACTAATCACAACTCCCTCCTGAATGCAAATAACTGGATAATGCAAGCTTTACTGTTAAACATATAAAAATTGTACTCGTTTGCACTAGTCGGTCGATATTTGGACTCACTATCTCAGTGAATATGCATTTGCCATTCGAAGAGAAAGGTACTCGGTCTAAATATCAATGTCAGCACCAAAACAGAGATGCACGGAAATGCCACTGACGAGTGCCAAATATGGCTACCAGTATCAATCTGTCTATTTTTTTTATAATATTTAACCTTAGTTTTGATCTATGCAGTTGAACAAATCTAAATACAAAGAACCGTATATTGACAATTAATCTGTATACTCATACTTTTCAACATATTAACAACAAGTTTTAACGTTTATGTTCGGTGTCAGTTACTATCGTCCAAATAATTAACTGATTGTTGAGCAGAGACTCAGTTCAATTTGTTGGTTCCTCGAGACGTTATTTTAAATGTCTTAACATTGTCGCGCAATGTTTTTCTTAGTCCCTATTCATTATTAGCAATTATATATTCATTCGATAGATCTTGAACCTGTTAATATTAACTTCGAATTTAATTTTAATTATTGGCTAACAATATCTTTAGAATTAAAGTTTTACTAGCTTTACGAACAGAATGACCCATATGCCTTACATTCCACTGGTAGTTCAAGGAACTGGTTTACCTATAAAGACAAACCGACTGTAGTCCTGATTATTTCCAAATTCAGTCAATCCGTATTACACTATGATGAGAACGAAATATCATAATTGTTATCTGTAGATTTGTGACCTGTTCAACTATTCATTATTTCTTATTTGATCTATTAATTATTTTTGATAAATGAACCAGTTTAATTTCACTGTTTACAGAAATGACCTTCATAAATTAATGGTTCAATAATTCAAGTATAAACTTACCGCTTAATACATCTGATTAAACAATTCGGAATTTCGGTAAAAATTTAGTCATATAACTGAGTTCTTAGATTAAGAAAGACATATGTGAAGAAACACAATTCACTAAAGGGTTTAAGTTCATTCTTATAATATCAACAAATGAATATTTATATGGTCATCCATCAAAATTTGAACGAAGAGTTTGACAGAAATCGAATGTTTGGTTAGTTGAAGACGTTATAATTGAACATTATAGTGTAAGTTGCTATCTTTAACCCACACGGCTAATAACAGCTTTCAGAGAGACCACATTATTCACTCTTCTTCAGTCAGATTTTGACATTGTTACTTTTTTCGCTTATCAACTTGGACTGCTTTGATATCTGTGTATGTGTGCATTTCTTAACTTACTCATCACATGTTTCTAACTTAGTTTTGAGTGACCATAAATCGAATTAAATCACATGCCTTCTCCACTGCATATCATTTCGCTACGTTCCTCCAATTGTCCGTCCAGATCAATCAGTGTACAAAATATATGTATTCAAAAATCCATTCTCATATTTGACTTATTTAATTTCGTTATTTACTAACATGATTTAAGTCGATAATTTTACACAAGGATTGATGACATATGTATTTCAATAACAATCAAACAGACGATTAAATTAGAGTCAGATCTCGAGCCACTAAAATAGTGAGTCAGTCGACAACATCGTCTGATCTAATTGGCGTCAAAATAACAAACCAATGAAACATCCTATTCAAAATATTCTCACTGATTACAATTTAAATATTTCCCACTTTTTCACTTGGGAAAATGATTGATTATTTCCCTGAAGACACTTTAACTCGTTTGCTAGATAAAACTTGGAAACTATCAAAATATCAGTGATTGAGATTATAATTTAAATACAAATCTTACTTTAAATAAATATAAACATTTATAAAACCCCCTTCACAATAATAGACCCTTTGAATAAACATTTCTCTGCAGGTTCTACCGTTTGAATTTAAATAGATGATCCAAAATGACAACCTATTCAAGAGCAGATACATCATTAAAGATTATCAAAAATGAATTCAGGATTATTGATGAAGCAATATAAAAAATCAATGGTTACTTTGTTAAGAAGATGATTCAGTTTGACTAATATATTTACAATCTTCGAAATTCATATTTGTATTCCTTAAATTGATCTTGATCAAATGTTATTCTTGTTAGTACTAACATATGTTAGTATGGCTTTTGGTACTATAGAAGCTAGTTAGCACACACCTTGTTTCCCTGTTTTCTATGGTAGTCTTAGAAACGTTTGTGATGCAGAAATGATACAAGTCTTATAATTTTAACAAAACATTGTACTGTTAACAATTATGTGTTCACTAATGACTAGATTTGAAATAGAATTCGTGAAATGCTAATGAGGGCTAAAACCAGTGGTGTTCAACCATATCAAGTGTGAAACAGTTATCTACCACAGACAGTAGATATAAGTTTTCGATTGATATTAGATAATAATAGTTCGTTTCAGCTTAGTGGTCTTGAGGATAAGGGTTCGCAGGCGAAATCGAAGGTTATGCGTTTGATTCTCGGAAGAGTAGTAGCGAGTGCGCACTGCTTAAGATATCTGTGCGAGGACTGAAAGACCTTCTAGTGTTAGTAGTTTTTCACTGGTGGTCGAACTAAGATCCATTCCTGCCCTAAAATTAGTGAAAAATTCTATCCTTTCAAAAAAACCATACTGACCATAATTATTCTGATTAATCTCACAACTTCATTTAACTAACAAACGTATTCAAATAAACAGTATGTATATGTGATTTTAATGTTTATTTTACCAACATTTTTGAATTCAGGTGCTATATTATTTCACGTATGATTTGTCGTAAACCTGGCTGTCGTGTTAGAGCAATAATTTGATTGTATAACCATGCAACTGGATAGGAATTTATTGTCAAGAATATTCCCTATCGATGTAATTGAAAGCTGTATACATATGTATGTAAACTAAATATTAATAATCTTAAAGTTAGTCACTACTAAACAAACATTCGTTTGTGTGGGTTCGAATCTCACGAGGCGGGATAGTGGACGCGCAATGCTGAGGAGTCTCATAATAAAACAAAACGGCCGTCAAGTGCTTCCATGTTTTCCATGGTGATCTAGCTTCATTTGACTCATGATTTTAACTATGAAAATATTCCATTGTACTTAAAGGAATAGAAATTAAAAAAAGCACAATATGAACTTTGCCAAAAAACAAATATTTTGGTAAGTAACAAAATAAATGAACATCCTTCAGCTTGTTTTCTTTATAGGATTCAAATCAGTTCAATTTCATATTGCTGAAGTGTGACCATAATAATATGACTAGTTCATAAACAAAATGTTCTCTTAATATTCCATATGTTAAAGCTAATATATAAATCTGCATAAAATTTTACGCACTAGTAAACAAGTAAATATATTGTATTCACTTTCTTTTCCAGAATCTGGTTACTACTTAAAATATTCTACAATAATCAGTGTTATTTAGAAAGTATTCATAAATTTGTTAGATGTTACGAGTTATATTGAAGCAATCGTCGAACCTGGAGTTGGTGTTAGTTGGCAGTAATCAGCAGGTTGTATCTGCATTTTTAAAGAGACTAACGCTTCCAGTAGGATTGGAAACCGACTCACTTAGTTTAACATTCTCGTCGTGAAATTATATATATATATATATAACTTACTCCTGTTACCCCCATTAAAGCATGGGCCGGCGACCAGAATTCTTTAACACACTCTGTCCTCGGCCTTGCTTTCTAGATATATCCAGTTGTTGTTTATTCTTCTCATATATATGTCCTATCCATTTCCAGAGCTCCTCCATGATTCCTTCCTCCACTGAAATCTGATTTGTTCTCGCCCAAAGTAGTTTGTTGCTGGTAG